TCCAACATGCAAAACATACTTTGTTGGCTAGAAGAAATTAGGAAAAGAAGGGTTAAGTCACGCAACTAGCTTTTGCTAGGGTAAGGGAGTGCCTTAGGCTTTGCCTTTGCCTTCTCCCTTATCAAATGTGACCCCGATCCCTTTCTTTGTTACGTAGATCTAAAAATTCTTTAAAAAGGGTTTGTTTACTTTTCTTTCCAAAAATCACTTTTTGTGACTTGCGTACACCCTAACTCTATACCAAGTGGCGACTCCATTTTCCATTCAAAACCCTTTTTGAATTTTGTTTGGCCAAATCGTCGCATTTCAAGTCCCACGCCTTTTATTTTCATTTTCACACACGTTCACATACATATTCCACACACCACTTTCACACCACACTTCAAAAAGTGGGCGCGACAGTTGGCGACTCCACTGGGGACTTCCTAAGTGGGTTTCGCTATTCTTTTCCTTTTTCTACCCTTTTTATGCATAACATTTGGATATTAGGGTTGCATTTTTCCTTTTTAGGATTTTTGCATTTTGCGCGTATCAACTCACTCACTTACCCATTTGGCGTACGAATGTTTTGATGGATGAATGGTTTATGTATGTGATTCTGCGCTTTACATTGCATTTGTAGGGGGACATTACCCTAGAGCTCGCGTTGGTTCTCGATCCCTCCCCTCCAAACGAGCACTAGCATACGTGCATACGCTTTAATTATTCATCCCTCCTTTATTTTTCTTTTAGTGGCTTGTCACGCCACTCCCCCTATTAGGATATTAGGCGACCCACTTGGACGTGTGATCGCGACACGATGTGTGCGTAGCATGATCCGAGGCGGTCACTCAACCTTCCATTTTAAGCTTTGGGTTCATAGGCCTTTAGCTTTTAGTCGATGGTTGAGGATTTTTGATAGATTCACTCATGACATGTAGCCGTGACACGATGTGTGCGTAGCAATGTTTGGGGAATCGCTCGAGCCACGACAACGAACCTTGGATTGATAACCTTGGTTTCCAAGTCTGAAGGCTCGGGGACCTAAAACCTATCGAGTCTAGATGCATTAGTGAGCCAATACCTCATGCATCCATGATAGCTTGCCTAGGTAGAGTCGGCCTTATCCTGAGCTAGGGACACTATTCACGAGGGGAGGGATCCAACCCCTTTTTCCTTTTTATTGCTTTTACTGCATTATCTCGTTGCTACAATGTGTTATGTGTACTTATCTGGCTGAACTAACTTTTCTTGGTTTTGTCCCCATTGCATTCACCAACCCTAGCGAATAAGAGGTCTGGCATGACCTTCTTTTAGAACTTACCCTTGTAGATAGGCTATTGCACGTTTAAAGATTTTGGTATATTGCATTCTTATATTAATAATGCCATATCATTTTAGGCTTACCCTGGCAAATAAAGGGTCCCTTAGGTCATATTTCATTTCAAATTGCATGTTTTATCGCTTTAATAAACTGGCATCATGCATAAACCCTAGAAGGGGAATGCCATTTAGGGGATCCCGCTATTAGGATTAAACTCACCTTGATTGTTCCCATGGGTACATAACCCTTCAAGGGATTGCACGTTTAAATTCTTGCCAACCGGAGAATGGGACTCGTAGGTAAGGTAATTGACAACCCGCCTCTTCCATTTTTAGATGGAGTGCCCCCGTCGAATCTACCAGTTGTTGGTACCGTCGGCCGAGATTCAAAGATGGCCTGCCCTTATGCTACCTAGCGAATTACATCAAGTAGCTCAATATTTAGGGCCAATTGGAGACCTTAAGGAGATCAAGCCCAATGGCTATGTAGTAGAAACATTGGTACATCTTTGGGATCCGGAATGTTCGGCCGTTAGGGTAGGCAATAAGCACATGACAGTGACACTTGAGGAAATAGCCGGCCTCTTCAATTTACCCTTGCATGGAACCGCCTTAATTTTTCCCATACGTTTCAGACAAGATAGAATTTTGCAAGATCATAGGATTGAGAGAGGCTGTATTGCGAGGGTCGGATCAGGCAGTCCCCGTGAACACTTTGTTTGAGCATTTTGCACTACGAAATGAGTTCGAGAGATATAGGGAAGATTTTTCATTCACATCCAAGGATTTGGGAACGCAAAAGGCCAGTGGTGTATGCGATAGTTATGGCAGGAGTTTATTTCTTCCCGAGAAGAGATCAGAAAATAGCTTTCAAGGTAGCAAAGGTTATACAAGACCTCTTTTCAGGAATCCGAAGTAAACAATGCACCATAATCCCGACCATCCTTGCGGACATTTTTCTAGCTTGTACCAACTGCCAGAAAGGGAAAAAGTTCTTCTACGGGGCTAATATAGTTTTGCACATCTGGGCCCTAGAACATTTTAAGAGACGAGCGTCCGTTCCGGAAAGTCTGCCAGTAGCTGGGTATAATTGGGTAATCACGCATCATAAGCGAGTCAACGAAGGGGGTCTGCCGAACGATGCGGTTGAATGTGTCAAATACTTAGAGATGTTGCCAGATCAAGACATTAGATGGGTATTAGACTGGACGGTTTGCCTTAGGCCGATACTCCGCACTAAAGTGTCAGATTTTGTTCTCCTATTGGGTACCCAAGGAATCGCCGCATACACTCCAAAGAGGTTCCTCAGACAGTTAGGACGTACACAAGAAGTGCCGCCTGTGGTTGATATGAGTAGGCTTACCGTCGTTTTCAGTAAAGGAATGTGCCCAAACGAGCTCCCTATGAAAGACCAGATTATCGAGGCATGGGTGACACTATCGGATGACGAGAGATTTCAATACATCCCGGAACTCAAGCAAAGGGGATTAACCACTCCGCAATACGAAGACTGGGTGAGAAGGTCCGCCACACAAGAAACACAAGATGAACCAACCGAGGAGGTGGGAAGGTTGAAAGCCATTATCGAAGCAAGGGATAAGGAAATTCTGCAATTAAGTAAGTCTGTCGAAGCATATAAAGGGATGGCGGAGCAAAACAAGCAATTGTATGAAAATGAACGAGAAAAGCGTCAAGAGCTGAAAAGGAAATGCGGAGAGTTATATGACCAAGCTGAACGTGTTAGAATTCCATATGCTAGAGAAACCAGGGACTCTGTATTAGATAGGCTTAGAAGTTTTGACAATTTTGTACGGAATCGTCTTTATGACATGATGTAAATATTGGCAAGTTTATCAATGAAAGCAATTTTCTTTTGCATCATTTGGAATTGTTGTCAAAACAGGTTGTGTTACGGGTCCCATTTCGAAGGTGTTGCATCATGCTAGGCCTACCCTTGGCACAAAAAGGGCCCCCCCGATAGGACATGCATCCGAATTTTTGGAACATCTACTAACTCTTGTCTTTTCCTTTTTCTTTGTTTTGTTTTTGTGGAAAAAGCTAAGCCAGGGCTAAATCTAAAAGCGAGCCATTTCGTGTTTTCAGGTAAAATTTCAAATAGCTTCTCGGAAAAGCCCCATTATTACGCGATCCAAAAGTAAAGCCCAAAAGAATCGTGTAGACATGAGTACTCAGCCAGAATCGTCTGATAAGACCGCTGCAACTACCCAACCGGAAGCCACAAGTCCCGGGGTTCAGTTGACTGAATTACTCACCAAATTTGGGGAAATGGCATCTGAAATGGTCGCCCAAAAGAAGTTGATCGACGAGCTCATCAGTAGCGGAGTGCAGCCCGAGCCTCCGCCCATCAAACAACCGGAATCCGAACCATTTGTCATTCCTCCAATTCAAACCACTTTTGAGGGAGTTTTCAACCCGCTAAATACTTAAACTCAAAATCCTCCGTTCTATCCTCCCTATGGGCAAGGGTTTCGGCCTCAAGGTGGTTAAGGTGGTCCAAACATGCCTCCAGATCCACAAGCCTTTTATCAGACTACCGCAGAGCCTGTTGTGCCAGACCATACTGTTCAAACCAAAACCAGAAGTAGGAGAGTCGTCTGCCCTGATTAATCTGAAGTTACTTAAGCGGTTGGATCGTTTTGATGAGTTCATCCGGAAAAGCCAAGGTTTAAGCAAACAAGGGGTGTTAAACTACGATGATCTGTGCCTGTTTCCAAATGTACAGTTGCCCGTGGGATTCAAGACCCCGAAGTTCAATAAATATGATGGTACGGGCAATTCTAAGACGCACTTGCGTTTGTTTGCCAACAAGTTGGGCAGACCGGTGGATGATGAAAACTTGCCATTAAGATTGTTTCCAGAGAGTCTAGAAGGAGACGCCCTCGATTGGTATTAAACTTAAAGCCAGAGGAGGTGAAGACTTGGCTTGATCTGTCCAACGCCTTCATCAGACAATACGAATATAACTGCGAGCTAGCACCGACCAGAACTACTTTGGAAGGCACCAAGAGGCGACCATCTGAAGATCATAAGACATACGCCAAAAGATGGAGGAAGATAGCTGCCAAGGTTGAGCCTCGATGACCGAAGATGAAATCATTCGCACTTTCATAAAAGCGCATGATCCTCCATACTTCGAAGAAATCTTCCGTATGACCGGGTGCACATTTGCTGCGATTGTGAATAAACTCGAGAATATGATGATTTTGTGAGAGTCAGAAAAATTGTTAACGTTTCTGCCTTAAAATCACAAGTAGAAGCTTTGCAAGGGCAGGGGAGCAGTGGAAAGAAGCCGCAGTTTAAGAAGAAAGAGGGGGAGGCAACTTTTATCTGGAACCAGAACCCTTCACCAAACCCCGATACCAACCCAATCCAACCTACCAACCACATTACCCTTATTATTCAAACCCGCACCATGTATATACCACCAATATCCACCACCTTCGACCTCGCCCAAGCTATCCTAACCACCTTTAGCTCCTTTTCAAATTCTCAACCAAATCCGCCCCAAAACCGACCTCGCCTCCATATAACCCAAGATTTCCTCCCCCAAATAGACCTGTTTACAACCATCCTCAACCCCCTGAACCTTACAACCGACCCCCTAGCCGTACATTTACCAATTTAGGCAGGCCTCTAGACCAATTGTATGACCAGTTAAAGGCCGCCGGAAAAATTGTATGGTAACCCCTCCTACCTATCCATATGGCATGCCCGCTTGGTATGACCCGCAAGCTGTCTGTGCTTATCATTCAGGGGCACCCGGACATTCAACTTTGGATTGCAAGGCTCTTAAGCATAAAGTTCAGGATATGATTGAAGCTGGAGAGATTGTAATTAGGAAAAGGGAGGCACAAGGGCCGAATATAAATAGGAACCCCTTGCCGGAACATGCTAATACCATTGGGGTCATTCTGGACGACGCAGAGTATGACGAGCTAGCCCAAAAATTGGCAAGGAAGCTGAGGTGTTTTGGAGTCACAGACCGACCATTCATAATAGAAGATGAACCGTTTGAGGAAGATAAAAGTTTTATTTTGGATCTCACTCTAGCTGAAAGCAAGGCTTTGGAGCCAGTGGTCATCGAATTCCCAGAGCAGGAGCCTGTTCTGAGTTTGCAGCGAGTGCCATGGAACTATGATGAACCTGTCATACAAATTGGAGAAAAGTCAGTTGCCAAGGAAGAGGTGTCAGTGGTCACCAGATCAGGGAGGATTGCAAGTCCGTTTGGAGCTACCGTTCCGATTCAAACAAATAACCCCGAGCTGCCCGCTAAACCAACAGTTACTGAAGGAAGCCTTGGATTTTCTTAAAAGGCTCAAAGAAGTGAATATAATGTAGTCGAGAAGCTAAGCAAGTCGCCCGCCCAGATATCCATGTTGGATTTGCTTTTTTCTTCGGATATGCATAGGGATGCGTTGCTCGAAGTGTTGACCAAAGCCCAAATCCCTAAGGACATTTCAGTTGCTAATTTCTCACATATGGTTGGGAGTGTGTTTATTTACAAAACAAATCACTTTCTCTGATGATGAGTTACTGGCGGAAGGCATTGAACATAACAAGGCTCTGTACATAGCTGTGAGATGCAACGGAAAAATTTTGCCAAAGGTGTTGATTGACAATGGATCTGCGCTTAATATCTGTCCTTGGAGCACCTTGGAAAAGCTAGGATTGCAAGATATCAAGTTGAGGCCTTCAGGGACCATAGTTAGAGGTTTTGATGGAGCACAAAGAGAACCTATAGGAGAAGTGGATTTAGTCATCGAGATGGGGCCTGCACAGTTTCAAATAGCTTGCCAAGTTATGCACTTTCCTAGTGTTTACAATATTTTGCTTGGAAGGCCGTGGAATCATAAGTCCGGAGCTGTGCCCTCTTCATTGCATCAATTGTTGAAGTTCATAGTAAATGACAAGTTGATAACTATCTTTGCCGAGCAGGATTGCCTCGTGATTGCTGATTCTGGGTCCAAAGAAGATGGTAGCCAAAACGCCACAGTGACCCCTCATAGCACATCCGATATCGTCTCCGTAAGTTGGATAACAAAAGAGGAACGAGCTCTGTCAAAGGCTAGTGTCATTTAATTGCTGTCATATTCCTGTCATATTGCTTGTTTATTTTTTTGTTGTATATTTGTTTGCTTATTATCCCACAGACCCTACTTTTCCACCCGTAAAACAGAAATGGGGTTTTTATTCATTTCTTGTGAATTTATCATTTGATTGGAGGTCTCACCTTAGGTCCTTAATTTTAATTTTATTTTATTTTATAGTAATAACAAATTGATCCCTTGAATATTCTTTAATTCTTTATATGGACCTTCGTTTGTTTAATTGGATGAATAGGGGTTGTTTAACTTCTTGAATGCTTTGTTTAATTATTCAATTTCATATTTATTCTTTTCCTTGAAATTTTGTTAATTAAAGTGATGCATTAATCCCTTGTTTTGATAGTTTTAGCTCAAATTAGCTCTTTCTTTGGTGACTATAGCCGAGTTAAGTCTTGTTCACCTTATTAGCATTACAAACGGGGGGAGGTACAACTTCTTTTATCCCTTTTTGGCTCTCCTATGTGATCCAACGTGCTAAGTGAGAATTGCATGTCTACTTTGCCTTCCTTGCCTTTCCTTAATTCCTTTCATTTATTCGTTTGCTTTTGTTTTTATTAAGTTATTCTTTATGGGGTATGTGTACACCTCTTGGCTTGTAATAGATAGGGCTTGAAGAGCATTTTGGTCCATTTCTCCCCTTCCCCTTTTGTTTTAGTTAGCAAATATAATAGGTTCATTAGATTGATTGCTTGCTTTTGTTGCTACGTGTTAACTTGCTTTATTAGGCTCTTGCATTTAGTCGAGCATGCTAAGTGTTATGTGCTACGTGTTTATAGGTGATTGGCATGTCTACTTGCTTTCTATAGTCATAGATGAATGTGATGGATGAATGCACGTCACCGCACTAGTCCAACGCTAGTTGTGGCTCATTGTCCCGTTTTCCACTAGTCCAACGCTAGTAGGAATTCATAGATATGGGCTAGTCCAACGCTAGATCCTTAGGGATTTCCCTCGCTAGTTCATACTTGCATGTTTCATTACATTTCATGCATTTTTCTTAGTTTTCTAACATTTGGCATGCTCTTCCAATCCTTTCCCCTCCATTTTAGGCTTTTGCATCTTCATGCTAGTTATAGGGTACATTTGCTTCAGAGTCCCCTTTCGATAAGGGAAACGAGCGAGTGTGGCTACAAAATAGCCTTAGCACGCTAGTTCTTCCTTCTAATCAAAGGGAAAATTAAAGTCGTGAAATTAGGAGTCATTTCCGCACACCCGACTTGATGCATTCCTCTAGGTTCATGCACTCTCATTCTTATCATATCACTTCCTCACTCTTTTATCCACCTTTTTTCACAACTCATATTTTTCTCAATCCACATGCCATGTTTGTACATTTTTTCTTTTATCATTTATTTTCTATCTCACAAATTGCACCCAATTGCACTTATGTGTATCTACTATTATATTTTCATCCATTAGCACACAAACACCTTTATTTTCTCAATTGGCACACATGCACTTTTCTCATTTGCACACTTGCACTTTTCTTACATTTGCACACTTGCACTTTTCTTACATTTGCACACTTACACGCATACTTGAGTTTCATTTGCATTGCCCGTGACCTCTATGAGGACTTTCCTTATTTGGCCACCACAACTCATGTGGTTAGGACAAAAAAGCTTCATAAGAGATATTTTAGATTTAGGATTGCATTTTCTTAGCATCCATTAGTCATGTCCAACATGCAAAACATACTTTGGGTAGAAGAAATTAGGAAAAGAAGGGCTAAGTCACGCAACTAGCTTTTGCTAGGTAAGGGAGTGCCTTAGGCTTTGCCTTTGCCTTCTCCCTTATCAAATGTGACCCCGATCCCTTTCTTTGGTTACGTAGACCTAAAAGTTCTTTAAAAAGGGTTTGTTTACTTTTCTTTCCAAAAATCACTTTTTGGGTGACTTGGTACACCCTAACTCTATACCAAGTGGCGACTCCATTTTCCATTCAAAAACCCTTTTTGAACTTTGTTTGGCCAAATCGTCGCATTTTCAAGTCCCACAGCCTTTTATTTTCATTTTCACACACGTTCACATACATATTCCACACACCACTTTCACACCACACTTCAAAAAGTGGGGCGCGACAGTTGGCGACTCCACTGGGGACTTCCTAAGTGGGTCCAAGCATTTGATTTCGCTATTCTTTTCCTTTTTCTACCCTTTTTATGATAACATTTGGATATTAGGGTTGCATTTTTTCTTTTTTAGGATTTTTGCATTTTGCGCGTATCAACTCACTCGCTTACCCATTTGGCGTACGATTGTTTTGATGGATGAATGGTTTATGTATGTGTTTCCGCGCTTTGCATTGCATTTGGGTAGGGGGACATTACCCTAGAGCCTCGCGTTAGTTCTCGATCCCTCCCCTCCAAACGAGCACTAGCATACGTGCATACGCTTTAATTATTCATCCCTCCTTTATTTTTCTTTTAGTGGCTTGTCACGCCACTCCACCCTATTAGGATATTAGGCGACCCACTTGGACGTTTGATCGCGACACGATGTGTGCGTAGCATGATCCGAGGGTCACTCAACCTTCCATTTTAAGCTTTGGGTTCATAGCCTTTAGCTTTTAGTCGAAGGTTGATGATTTTTGATAGATTCACTCATGACATGTAGCCGTGACACGATGTGTGCGTAGCAATGTCTGGGGAATCGCTCGAGCCACCGACAAAGAACTTTGGGATTGATAACCCTTGGTTTCCAAGTCTGAAGGCTCGGGGACCTAAAACCTATCGAGTCTAGATGCATTAGTGAGCCAATACCTCATGCATCCATGATAGCTTGCCTAGGGTAGAGTCGGCCTTATCCTGAGCTAGGGACACTATTCACGAGGGGAGGGATCCAACCCTTTTTCCTTTTTATTGCTTTTACTGCATTATCTTGTTGCTACAATGTGTTATGTGTACTTATCTGGCTGAACTAACTTTTCTTGGTTTTGTCCCCATTGCATTCACCAACCCTAGCGAATAAGAGGTCTGGCATGACCTTCTTTTAGAACTTACCCTTGTAGATAGGCTATTGCACGTTTAAAGATTTTGGTATATTGCATTCTTATATTAATAATGCCATATCATTTTAGGCTTACCCTGGCAAATAAAGGGTCCCTTAGGTCATATTTCATTTCAAATTGCATGTTTTATCGCTTTAATAAACTGGCATCATGCATAAACCCTAGAAGGGGAATGCCATTTAGGGGATCCCGCTATTAGGATTAAACTCACCTTGATTGTTCCCATGGGTACATAACCCTTCAAGGGATTGCACGTTTAAATTCTTGCCAACCGGAGAATGGGACTCGTAGGTAAGGTAATTGACAACCCGCCTCTTCCATTTTTAGATGGAGTGCCCCCGTCGAATCTACCAGTTGTTGGTACCGTCGGCCGAGATTCAAAGATGGCCTGCCCTTATGCTACCTAGCGAATTACATCAAGTAGCTCAATATTTAGGGCCAATTGGAGACCTTAAGGAGATCAAGCCCAATGGCTATGTAGTAGAAGCATTGGTACATCTTTGGGATCCGGAATGTTCGGCCGTTAGGGTAGGCAATAAGCACATGACAGTGACACTTGAGGAAATAGCCGGCCTCTTCAATTTACCCTTGCATGGAACCGCCTTAATTTTCCCATACGTTTCAGACAAGATAGAATTTTGCAAGATCATAGGATTGAGAGAGGCTGTATTGCGAGGGTCGGATCAGGCAGTCCCCGTGAACACTTTGTTTGAGCATTTTGCACTACGAAATGAGTTCGAGAGATATAGGGAAGATTTTTCATTCACATCCAAGGATGTTTGGGAACGCAAAAGGCCAGTGGTGTATGCGATAGTTATGGCGGGAGTTTATTTCTTCCCGAGAAGAGATCAGAAAATAGCTTTCAAGGTAGCAAAGGTTATACAAGACCTCTTTTCAGGAATCCGAAGTAAACAATGCACCATAATCCCGACCATCCTTGCGGACATTTTTCTAGCTTGTACCAACTGCCAGAAAGGGGAAAAGTTCTTCTACGGGGCTAATATAGTTTTGCACATCTGGGCCCTAGAACATTTTAAGAGACGAGCGTCCGTTCCGGAAAGTCTGCCAGTAGCTGGGTATAATGGGTAATCACGCATCATAAGCGAGTCAACGAAGGGGGTCTGCCGAACGATGCGGTTGAATGTGTCAAATACTTAGAGATGTTGCCAGATCAAGACATTAGATGGGTATTAGACTGGACGGTTTGCCTTAGGCCGATACTCCGCACTAAAGTGTCAGATTTTGTTCTCCTATTGGGTACCCAAGGAATCGCCGCATACACTCCAAAGAGGTTCCTCAGACAGTTAGGACGTACACAAGAAGTGCCGCCTGTGGTTGATATGAGTAGCTTACCGTCGTTTTCAGTAAAGGAATGTGCCCAAACGAGCTCCCTATGAAAGACCAGATTATCGAGGCATGGGTGACACTATCGGATGACGAGAGATTTCAATACATCCCGGAACTCAAGCAAAGGGTTACCACTCCGCAATACGAAGACTGGGTGAGAAGGTCCGCCACACAAGAAACACAAGATGAACCAACCGAGGAGGTGAAGGTTGAAAGCCATTATCGAAGCAAGGATAAGGAAATTCTGCAATTAAGTAAGTCTGTCGAAGCATATAAAGGGATGGCGGAGCAAAACAAGCAATTGTATGAAAATGAACGAGAAAAGCGTCAAGAGCTGAAAAGGAAATGCGGAGAGTTATATGACCAAGCTGAACGTGTTAGAATTCCATATGCTAGAGAAACCAGGGACTCTGTATTAGATAGGCTTAGAAGTTTTGGCAATTTGTACGGAATCGTCTTCATGACATGATGTAAATATTGGCAAGTTTATCAATGAAAGCATTTTCTTTTGCACTCATTTGGAATTGTTGTCAAAAACAGGTTGTGTTACGGGTCCCATTTCGAAGGTGTTGCATCATGCTAGGCCTACCCTTGGCACAAAAAGGGCCCCCCGATAGG